TAAATGCCAAGGATGTGTCGAATTTCAAGTAGGTCCATACTTATCAAATTTAAGAATGTAGTATTTTTATTATGGATACCACATTTGATGTCAGTAAACACAACATGCACCTTGTGGTTATGCAAGCTATTGACAACCATAAGAATGGCAGGATTGTGGCCTACATATATATATGAGGAGAGAAACAAATGATATTTTGGAGTCTGCTCTCAGAGTGTTTGTCGAGAAGAACACTGAAAGTGCCCTCAATGTGAAGACTGTAATTGTTGACAAAGATTACAGGGAAATTTCAGGTGTGAAAATAGTCCTCCCCGAGGGGGAAACGACTGTTAAACTTTGTGTCAGCCGGATTACAGATTACCCGGATTACCTCCGGAGTGTCCTCCGGATTACGTTGCTTTTTCTCTAGGACTACCCCGGATTACCTCAAAATTCACCCGGATTACCACGGTTTTTTTAGAATTTCCTCGGATTACCCCTGCCGGATTACCTTTCGGCTGTCAGCCGGATTACCTTAGTCGTTTCCCCCTCGGTCCTCCCTGATGTGCATGTCCATCTCTGCCATACACATGTCAAAAGACTTTTCAGTAGAAAAGTTAAGGGTGAAGAGCAATCTTCAAAGTTAACCAAAATTTTAAATGATATGTGTCTATCAGCAAGTGCAGAAGAGTTAGATCGCCATTACAATGCTCTGAGTGCTGTTGCTTCTCCTACTTGTTTGGAGTATTTTGATCAGTATTGGAAGAATATTCAATCAGCATGGGTCATGTATGTGAGAGCTGAGTCTTTATCTTTAGGTGTGAGATCCACAAATCATGTTGAGAGCCACAACGACAAGATTAAAAAAGTTGTCACAAGAACAAGCACGTTGGCAGATTGTGTCAGAGAATTGTTGCGGCTCCACTTCACAAGAGAGTTTGAGAGCAGTCATAGAGGTTTCTTAGAGAAAGCCAAAAGGTCATACCTTGTAAACAACAAAGATGACAATGTTAAAATTATATTCAACACAGCATCAGATTGGGGTGCCTCTCTTCTAATTAGTGAATTAAAACATAGCTATGACTTGTTGGAAGATACTCTGCAGGAACGAGAAAAATGTACCTGTAACTTCTCTAAGATGTTTGGTATGGGAGTTTGCCACGAGGGGTGGATAACTCCTGAATTGGGTGTACAAATTTCAAGAATTGAATTTGAATTATTTTGAATTGGCTTGAATTGAATTTGAATTGGACTGAATTGGTTGAATTGGTTTTGAATTAGTTTGAATTATTGCGATTTTATGTTACTGAATTAGCGTGAATTGGCTTGAATTGACTTGAATTGACTGAACATTGTCTTGAATTGGACTGAATTAGTTGAATTAGTTTTGAATTGGTTTGAATTAAATTGAATTGGTCTGAATTAGTTTGAATTGGGCAGAATTAGGGGTGTACACTTGGCAGGGGAGTTATCCACCCCTCGGTTTGCCAGCATGTCTCCCACCACAGGTTGCAACAAGGTACTACTTTCACATATATTGATAACCAATTCCTCTTAGGATTTTCTACGGCAACAAAATGGGTTTGACTGTGGAATTTTTATCTGCTTGTGGACTTATTCTGTCAGTTGTGGCAAAAAATTAAATGTGTCCGACTTCACTCCAACAAAATTGCGAAATGCAAGGAAATAAATATTCCACAAAATATTGACTAATTCAAAGGAGATGATTATCAGGTGATTTAGACAATTGTTTACTTGAGTTACTACAATACTTATCATATTAATCTTAATTTTACTAAATTGCATGTTACCCATACAACTATTACTAGTACTCACATCAATACTTGTTTTCTATCACGTAAAATATATTGAGATAGAAGTGTTTCCCCAACACTACCATGATCTCATTTAAAATAATTATCTTTTCTAGAACTTCATCAAACACACCACAGCCCCAACCACAGAAGCATTCTCAGTCTGATTTATAAACTAAGCTGTATGTATCTGCACTTAAGAACATCGAGGATGGAGTAGCTGTGGTAAACAAGGTGTGGGATGAAAAGCCAGCTGCAGATATAATTTATTCCTCTCCAGTGCCTTCAAAAAGCACGTCAAAGCAAGTCATTGGAGACTACATTCATGAGTTGTCGAGAGCAACTGAAAACTCTTGTGGTGCTCCAGGCAAATGTAAATTAATAAATGTTGAAGGTATCATGTATCCGTGCGAGATATGTAGGGAATGGTACCACTTGAAGTGTGTGGGGGATACGCGTGCTCCACCATCAGATAATGATCCCTATATTTGCCCTGTTCACATGCAAGGTCAGCAAAAGTTTTACAATTTTAATATTCAATATATCTCTGACAGATTTTAATTCTCATCGTTTATTTATTTACAGGTAGTACCAGAACAAGAGTAGATGTAAGGAAACCTGTTGGACTCCGAGTGTCACTGGGATAGGGCACTATAGACATTGTACTGTCTGATTGTTAGGATATTGGTTATGTTATATTTCGTGCTGCACTGAAAATACTAATTTTTACACTTTTGGAGCAGCTATTGAATAAATCATCCAGGGCTATTTAATGCTTGTTTATTTTGTCGTCTCCTTGTTGACATCAGTCATTTTGTCAAACATTTAAAAGATGTAGAGTATAAATAATGCTCACCGCTATCATTATTTCTTGTTTCCTAAAAATAAAATTTGTCAGAATTGGACGTTGCATCTGCTTCTAAATTCCTACGAATAGCGTTAATCTGGAAATTTGTCGGAATCCTTGCTTTTTAGAAAGATTCCTGCAGATAGTGAGTTTAACGTAAGGGGCAGTCGGAATTTGTCGGAACTGATTACTGCCCCTTACGCTGATGACCTTACTTGCAGGGCCTCGGAAAAAACGAAAAAAAAACTTTTTTTTCCTGTTTTTTTTTTCCTTGTTTTTTTTTTCCGGTGGCATTCCCTGATCAAGATGCCAACGCACGTTGCAAATTGGACATCTGATCTGAGAAAGGTTTTAACAGACCGACTGAAAAAGGGTCAAACACCTGTCATGAAAGTTACAGAGGTGACACGCAAAAAAGGATTCCGTGGTTCCTACGATTGGGTGTCAACAGAGTGAAGTTAAATTTGCCACTAACTTCCCATATGCTGCACAAGCTATTTCATAGTACGTACATTGCACTGGCATTCATGCAGTGCCTAAAACATATATTCATTTCTTTTCGCGCAAACATACTACTACTTGCACCTCATCTCAATATTACTTAAGCTACAATTGATTCATTCCCTCTTACAATATTATACATCAACTTTTATATGCATATATATATCCACATATAAAAATCAATGTTAATTGTATACTCAAGTTTTTTTAATCTAATCATGTTTCACAGTTTATTTTACCTTATCACTCTGTAATGGCCAATTACAATATTCTTGCAGTTCCGTAGACTTTGGGTTTGTGAAGAAACAACAACTTTTCATACTGCGGCTCTTAAGTGTTTACCCTAATAAAGGAGCTCATGGACCGTTAGCCGGACAATATTGAGAAGGTGGAGAAGCTACGGCACTTGCGTCCAATGTCCACCAATGTCAGCCCCGCTTCGAACAATTACCACTCGATTTGGCAGGGGACTATGATATTGATAAGCTAGAGAGTCAGTGGACAAGGCTAGCTGTGACGCCTCTCTTAGACATCTGTCCTCATAGAGAGCACGTGGCGGACATCAAGACTATGTGCATTGTTCATTTCTGGACCTGCGCGTTAAACTGTAGCAACACCGCAGGTGACCATCCATTCAAAGAGCGCGCCTCTTTCGCTCTCGAATGCCTCACCATTCCGGTTAGCAATGCTGTGGTTGAACGCATGTTTAGTTTTTTGGCCGCTATTAAGACCAAGCAGCGGAACCGCCTACAGCTTTTGATGCTAGATTCTCTGCTGCGGGTTCAAGCCCATCTATAAGCCATTGGAAAATGCTGCATGACGTATGAGCTTACACGCGACATGATATCAAGATTCACGGCCAGAACGCATGCGAAGTATCATGCCCGTGATTCTGAACCAACGGCCCATCGACCCCTGAAAACTAAAAGGACGTGTTTGAGAGGGTCCGCGTATAAGGTCGTACCTCGGAGCGGTTGCGTATAGTGTCGGATTTTGCCAGCGTCCCAGAGAATGGTCGTAAGTCTATTTTTTGTCGATTTTGCGAGATGCATACCATTAGAATCGGGAGAAAATTCTCTTTCTAATGATATGCATCTCACGAAATCGTGAAAAATCAGACTTACGACCATTCTCTGGGACCCTAGCGAGATCCGACACTATACGCAACCGCTCCGAGGTACGACCTTTTACGCAGCCGCTCCGAGGTACGACCTTTTAGTTTTCAGGGGTCGCCATGGTCCTTCCCCCTCCTTCAACGACAACGACGTGGGTCCGGATGACCCCGACGTCGACCTATTCCGGGATGGGAATGTCGAGCTTGACAAAGAGGACTACCATGATCTCACTCTGTTCAGTGCTGACGGCACACAGCAATATACTGTAACATTCTAGTACATTTTACTATTTTTTGACCACCAAATTTAATGTTTGGATTATTTTGTGCTTCCATTTTCAACCTGTAATTTGTGAATTATATTCTGTTCAAGAGCCTCAGAGCGTTTCAGTTGATTGTACCTTGTATGACATGTCATGCTTATTTTCTTTGAAAAACATCAAAAAGTGTTGGTTTTTTATGGATTTCAAATAATGCGGGCGAGGGGGCGATATTCCGGCGCCGCGAGCGCCGCCTGGTGGCGCTGTGAGGTACTCGGGACCTGGCAAACCTGTGTACAATGCTCAGAAATGTAGAAACCTTTGGTTTTCTAGTGCCGTGTGCAATATTTCACGTAAAATCATGGCTAGTCCGACGCATCAAAACGTTAGTTTGATTTATTGAGATAGTCTGACGTAGGGTTTTGCAGGAAAACAGAATGCGACCACTCGCAGATAATTCGATACTCGATATTGATGCGAATTCAAACATTGTCGCCTGGTGGCAACTATAAAGTCACGCCGTGGTCAAGTTTGATAAAGTTTGCCGCTCGCTCGCCGATCATGATGCTGGGCCCGTTAGTGCCGCCGCCTGTGACGCACGGCATGACGGACGCATCGGCGACGCGGAGGTTGCGCACGCCACCCAGCACGCGGAGCCTGGAGTCCACTACGGAGCCGATGCTGCACGTGCCAACGCCGTGACCCCACGTGGCTCCACCCTCAGTGTTGACGAGGCACTCGTACCTGCAGCACAACAGAAAGCGATGATTTGTGGCTCACAGAACGGTCACCGTACGACTGAGGTTACATTCATTCGAACGCTACAGTGAAAATCTTTCAGCTTTCAGGATGTTGTTGTAAGAGATGAACGAACATTCGATATGTTCGTGATTCCTCGAACACGAACATCGGGTGTGCGTTGTGCGTATTCGAAATGTTCAAATCCTAGTCCAAGTCGAACATAAGTTCGAAAGCAAACAGAACTGCAGTGAATAACAAAAAGAGGCGTCATTTATAGGTCCAGCCTCAGTGGCATGTAAATAACAGGCAGGCCCGCCCTTCCGTCAAACGAAGTTGCCAGCTCCGCTTCGCTCCGCCGGCAACTCCGTTCGGCAGGGGCCGGGCCTGCTTGGCCTGCCGGCGGCGATGGTCGGGCCTGCGCCCCGACCATTTCTGTCACGCGATTTGCTAAAGAACATGGTCGAATGATGAAGCGGGCCGCTTAAACCCGTCGTCTTTGAGTTGGCCCCAAAGACTCGAGAAAGGGATGTAACGGTGAAGCACCGCGACTGCAACCCACCCTTCTGCTTAGGAAACGTTTTTTGGGAGTGGGGGGAGAGTCACCTTTCTATTTTGCGATTTTTAGGCCTTTTACTACAACTTATTGTTCACTATCGCAATTTTTAGCTTATTTTCTTCAAAAAAGACCCTTTAGTGCCTAAACCGTTAGAGATAGAGCAGAGCAAAACGGACGAACTTTTCGCCCATTGGGCCCTACTTTCACGAGTTACCCCTGAGAAGAACACACAAAAAAAAATTCTATTTGGAAGAATATTTGAACCTTGGATACCCCCATTCACACCCTTAGGGGTGGTTGCCAGGATTAGCCGTAGGCGTTTCGTTCTCTAGAAGTGGACCTTAAGATACCCTGAAAATTTTAAGTCTCTAGCACATCTCCTTATAGTGGAACAGACAGACACACAGACACACACGAGGTCGTTTGCATAAGCCCGCTGGATAGCTTTTTCAAAGCACAAGGGCGGGCTAATGACCACAATTTGAAACTGAAATGGATTTTTTGCAAACCAGCATGGATGGCTTTTATAAATAATAAACTAAAGAATTAATTGTTCGTGTTCGAATCGAATTCGAACGTACACGGTTCGGTTCGGTCCGGTCGAAGAAAAAAATGTCTGTTTGTGGACGTTCTCATTTGAAGATTTTCAGACAAATTTTGTTCAAGTTCGTTCAATTCGAACTGGCCTGTTCGCTTATCTCTAGTAGTTCTGAATGAAACTGTTCAGGTCGTTAGCAGATTTCTCAACGGCCTTGGTAGTAAGGGTATTGAGTAAAAATTCTCCGATTCGCGGAATATTATCCGTGTAAAAGATGTCAGGGACTGTTATTTTTATTTTCATTGCTGTAAGATCTAGTGAAGTAGTTGGAAACTAATCTGGAATTTAAGTTAGCGGTACCTCCTAATTATTCTGTAGGCTAAACGTAGTCGTTCATATGTTTCATATTTTCTTTACAATTTGAAACTCAGCACCTAGGAACATCAATTGAAATCGGGGAATCACCTACCCGTATTTCAGAAAGATAATCGGTTTTATTTTGGACTATTTTAGATGAGCTGTCTGTTTAGATGCCTTAGTAATGAGCGGGTTTGTTTCGACGAAAAACAGATAAGCGCATATTGATAGGGTTCGACTACGTTTCTTTGGAATAATTGTACGTCAAGATATGCTTAGATAATCCGCAAGGTCCGTTTTTTGCGAATGTCCACAACAAAGGTCTACAGGGCCTCCCAGAGGTTTCTGCGTTTTTGTGTCGTAGTTCAGCCGAGCGATTTTGTTTTGGTTTAAATGAGCGACGTTCAATGCGATGAAATCTGTTTGACATCCCGCCGTAGTATGGACAAGACTAACCATTTCTCACCCCAAAGTAGAAAATTTGTGAAAAACACAGAATCTACGGGCCCCTTTGCGGCACAATTCTGTGCGAAATTAACTACATTTTGGTAATATTTGTGTTAGAAATCTGAAACATCGCCTTCAATGATGTATACTAGATCAGGATCAGGTCAGCAGAGCTTGTAGACTTACCAGGCCTGACTTCCCTCTCGAATGTGTTTGCATGATTCACCGCCATCAATACTTAAGGTTGCGCCCGCTTCTCGGAGACTCTTTGATGAAGAAAGTATATCAACAGCTCTCCTCATCCCAGCAGCATACGCCCGAACATCCTGTTGAGAAACATTGACCATACGTTATTTACAACAACGATTTTGTTGGTTTGGCTCTATCTGTCACTGTTCAGGCGCTAGTGGGAGTTTGTTCAATAGAAATGTGGACCTGTGGGGATGTGGACAATAATTGATCCAATATTGACTGTGCTTTCTAATAGGAGGAGTTCGCTGCTTCAACGAAGCTCGTCGCAGTCCGTAGTTTTGATGTTAAAACAAATACGTTATCTCGAACGGCCGCACTGTTAAAAAAAAGTTGTAAAATTATCACACTCTTTGTGACGACTTGTTTGTTAACATAACCATGAAAATCCGAGCCCCCTACCTGCAGCTGTAAGCGCTGCAGTTAGGCCCTGCATGGGCCCCCTCGCAGGCCTGGTTTTGGCGCACCACGGCAATCCACCCACAGCACTCATGTGGTCGTGAGTGGTATAGAGAGAGTCGTCTGGACCTCCTCAAACGTATCCATGACAAAAACGCGATGTACCTTACAAGTGGACGGCTCCAGGCCGTGTTTTATATCAAATTTGATACTCTGTGACGTAAAGGGTTAAAAAAACAACATCATTTGTTTTTATTGGAAGTGACAAAAATCCTTCTATTCTGCCCGTAGTGTTCTATAAAAATGATTCCTACTTTTCACCATGGCATTGTAATACTACAACAAAACCGTTAAAAAGTTTGAAAGCAAGATATATCGCTACAGAACGAACAAGTTTGTGTTAATACAGATTTTTGGTGCAGCTGGAAGTAAATATTCACTGTTTTGAAATGAAAATTTGTCTCACAAAATTTTGTGAATGTTGTTGAATTACAATGTGTTATGTTTTTTAACAACATTTCTTGCTATCAAACTTCACATCAAATGTGTTGTAAATTTACAACAATTTTTTTTAACAGTGCGACTCCTTGCTGTGGCAATGAACTCTTAGCTCTGCATACGTAATATTACATCGCACAGTGAAAAGTAGATCAACTGTCCCAATACTAACCACTAATTAGTTCGGACGACCAACACCTGTTTCTGTCCATACGAGCGTTAGCTAATCTATGAACTCTCCGTTTTCTATACTGCACTCTTTATAGAATAGAAAATCAAATAATTTTCCTTTTTGCACTCAACCCGCTCAGCCCCTTGAGGATTTGTGCTGAAAGCTGTCCAGTTGTACGCTCAGTTCATTCTCGGTTCATGACAATGTACTGATCTCACCTATAGCTATGGGTTCTCACCTCGTGGTTTTGGAAAACCCTCTGCCTAATAACTGGCGGCCCAAGTGGGTTAGTTGAGTTGATGGTAACTTCACCGGTGTCCTTTGGGTGCAAGAGAACAACATACGGCTTAACCTGTAAAAGAAAAGATATTAAAGTATCTAAGAATCACAATATTTGGTATTTGAAGGCGGCTAGGAAGTACGCAGGAGTCTAGATGAAATACATAGTTTGATGCGTTTTTCACTTTTCTTCACCCAGCTTTGCAGCACTAATCTGCATTGCAAATCAACAGATTAAATCGAAATTTGTTGCTCTAGGTAAAATTTTCTTCTATTCAAATTTATAGTCGTATAGTCATCCCAGACAAGCTTCGCCCGCCTCGGCTCCGCTTGGCTACAAGTCGTCTATGCATACCGAGTTGTAGTAGCTTGACGTTCCGTTTGGTGACGTTGTTCCGTCGACGCAGTACGGTGGTTTCTGGTAGCCGGTAGGCGGGTGCTGAATGTAGATGTAGGGCCTGCGGTCGTTCCAAGGCTGGAGGGGGCTGCGCATCCGCACGACGACTGAGTCCGTTCCCATGGTACCAATGGGCCCCGGTCCACGCGGGCCGTCAGTCTAGCAAACAAGTTAACACAAGTTTACTTCGTTCTAGTATGATTAGAGAATGGTTTGAACAATACCGTGACTTCACTGTTAAAAATGCTAGAAAGTCGGATATCTTTCTTTCATGAATGCGAAATCAGTGACAAAAAATATTCCTCATGGAGATGGAGAACAAGATTATTTGACTCTTCTTGCGTCACAATTTTGAATCAAGCGGTTGGCAAAATTACCTGATGATATTTAGAGTTTTACCTTGTTGAAATCTTCAATGTCCTTGTAGACGTCATCGATGGTAGGCACGAGCGCAGTCTTCGTCAACTTGAGCGTGGGCATCGTTCTCATCACGACATGGTCCTGCAATATGCATAGTCATGTGATCTGATTTCACCGTCATTCCGCCCTTTGCAATTCTAACGCACTGTATTCTTTACAAATTTGTTTTTATTAGTGGGAGTAGCAGTAGCAGTAGCAGCAGCGACCAACTACCGTAAAACAGGCTAATATGGACCATACGGGGTAATGTGAACCACCCTCTTATTCCTATGTCCCGCTTCTGCTTGACTTGCGCACCCATTGAGCTGTCGCCCAGCAGTGTCAGGAACAAAACTAAGTGGTAGTAGGAGTCGAGCAGAAGCAGAATATAGAAAAAAGTGGGTGGTCCACTTTACCACGCATGGTCCAAATGACCCTGTTTTACGGTACCATAGGTTACGTAGACATACCTGTAGATTTCTGCCAACGGGCAAGTCAGCGATCACAGAAATACCAGCTTTAGCTAAAGCCTTAGCCGGCCCTACTCCTGACACCATGAGCAACTGAGGTGAGAAGTACGTCCCTGCGCTCAGCACCACCTAGGCAGAGAGCGGCGTTATTGCTCATTGCATTTTTGTGGAACCAGCAGAAAGAAAAGTTGCTTAACGAACACGGTGACCACCCCTTGTACTTGTAAAAAAGTGGGCGCAATGTTCATGAAGCACCTTATTCCTTTCTTCTGTTCGGGAGTAACTGTAACGCAAAATACAGCGTCGATTACTGCCTTTATGGAAGCTACCAATGAAACAGGGTATACAAAGAAGCAAACGAAATTACGTCCATTAGTAAAGCAGCATCAAGAAAAGTGTAGATTCAGAGCGAACATTTTGAGCAAAGTATAACTCTGTAAAATTTTAAACATGTGTTACTCATTTGAAAAGTTATTAGTGCACTCGAAATGAATTTGAAGGATTTTTTTTTGTTTCTGTTGACAGCTACACAGTGTCTGTACATAGCCAAAGACAAGAGGTCTGTGGACAAAAACGTGACATTTTCCACACAAATTGTGTCATTAGAAGGCCCTTAATTTTCCTTCTTGAAATTTCCTGTGGTTGAAACAAACTTGTTGCGAAATGTACATTTACTGGAATGAGTTCCTTATCTACGAAATGCGAAAAAATGTCCATAAGAAGAGAGCTAATTTTACGACTCTCTACTCGTATCATAGAATTTGTATTTTGTTGGATGCGTGTAAACATTTACCTCTGTATGGACAAAATTGTTCTGACTTATCGTAAATTTTGGACGCCATTATATCCAGGATGCTGCCTCAGGAAGTCCTTTAATGAGTACGTATACATGTCTGTATACTTTTTGACCACAGTTAAAAACCGCATTTCAAATACAGCAACTCTAGGCGCGTTTCAAGCCTTGCGATGCATAATTCGTACCTCTTTTCTAGCCTTGACTGAGCGAGTGTTTCCATCTTTGTCAGTAAAAATCACCCCCTCAGCACTCTTCGTGTCACCATTGATGAGCACTTTAAACACTTGGGCACTAGTTACGACGTGCAGGTTGCAACGGTTAGCTCGTTGTCGCTCCAAAAACGCTGTGTTGGAACTCACTCTTCGCCCATTTTTGGTGTTCGTTTGCGACCACGCGTAACCCTCATTGTTACCACCGTTCAAGTCAACTTCCCGTAGTCCAGATTCCTGAAAATTAATATCAAATTTTATTCTGTGGAGTTAGACCAGCCTGGTCCCAATTCGTTATCCAAGGCTGCAAAGTCAGCATGGTATTAGGCCCTTCATGACTATAAATAATTTGATGTTTCAAGGTCAGACTTCGCGGTTTCACTGCCTACACTGTAAGAAACGACAGAAGAAGAGACGAAATGTTTAAAGACAAATTTGCATCCTACTGAGATGTGCTGAAGAATTCAACTCCGCTAAATACAAAACTGTTCTTCTCCGTTTAGAGTTCACACTGTGTATATTCCTTTACATCAGTAGTGCAGGCGGTGTACTAGTAAACCGTTTGAGATGCCAAGTACATATTTCCTGAGCATAGAGCATAAATTTGCTGTTTTCTCGTTATGAAACAAACGACTTTTACATCTAAAATGTGAAAAATTTATTTTAAGCGCATTTGTTTCACGGTGAAAACAATGTCAATTTTTCAGATAAGGAGAAAAACTTCTAGGAACTCCCATGTTTGCGAGGAAGAGTCCTCCGATCTGGCCTTAGATTTTGAGGAATCTTTTCAAATAATGAGGAAAAATCCTACATTCTTTTAGGAGACTTCTTCGAAATCTGAGGAGTTTTCATCAAACCAGGGGAGTTTCTCAAAGTTTTCGCAATTCCCTCAAAAAATGAGACTGTTTTTACCGTGTACCATTCAGACAACGTTCTGAGAACGCTCTTTTGGTTCTCTGAAGGTTCCGTAAACGTTCTAAGAACGATATGTGCTACAAAGGTATGTGCCATAAGAAATAACTAACCCACACACACCAGGGATCAACGAAGAAATTCGTTCAAAATAATTTTACTGCTCAAAATCGTATAGATGAAAGAACTACAAAACCACTAAGTGTGAATGTGTCAGTAATGATCGGCGTTACAAAGAAAATTATAGTGCGCATAAGAAGGCACTTGACAATACTTGCAATTAAGAGAACCAGAAGAACACTTACCGCGTAGGCTTTTAACAATAGATTCGTGTTGACGTCCTTGAATGGCATTCGTTGGATTGCTAGTGGCCCGCCCGTACTATGATGCACCTTGTCCTTAGCCAAGTCGGGGTCAAGGCAGTCCTCTGACTTCTTAAAGAAGGGAAGCACATCCTTATACCCCCAGCCTTTCGCACCCTTGCTTTCCCAGCAACTGTAGTCGTCTTCGGTCCCGCGGAAGTAAATCATGCCGTTGTGCGAACTGCAGCCACCCAACTGCTTCGCTCTAAAAGCAAAACCAATATGGCGGTTAAGATGAGCGAACATACAGGTTTTTTTTTCCCAAACTCGAACAAAATTGGCCTGAAAATCTGCGAACGAACCGAACCATGTCATGTTTGAATTCGCACCAAACGCGAACAGTTATTATATGTTTTACCTTTGCTTGTGAATTATTAAAGCTCTCCATGCTACACTGAAATAATCGATTTTACTTGATAACAAGAAGTGTTGAAGATCTGATAATTTACTTCCTAGAGCCAACTTCACATTTCACCATGAATTTTTACAAAGAATGACTATTCGAACGAAAATATCATGAAGCCGATCACACCATTACCAACCCAACATGACTATGTTATGTAATCAGGACGAACAAAAATTTTTTGAGGGAAGTAAAATTTTCTTGGCTTCCTTAACACTGTTACTATGTGCCGTGGATCAAATGATTTTCTGGGTGTGGCTTACAATTCTAAAGCTGTTATTTATTTACGTGCCCACTTATCCCATAGCTACACACCTAAATAAAACGCGTCTCTTTTGCGGTAACTGCAATTCCGTTCATCACATTTCGTATTATATCATGTTCTAGTGATCACAAACCAACAGCTCGTTGTTCGTTCGAGTTCGCTTCGATCTGAACATGTTTGCGTATCTATCTCTATGTTGCGGGGCAACTCGGAATTAATTTTTACGTGGTGTTAAGTTCGAGGAGTTCACTTACTTCTCTGAAATTCACGTGCTCGTTTACACTAGCATGAAAATATACCGGCATTTATCAGACATCGTAAGAATCGCTGCGAATCAACATCAACGGGAATTGACGGGAACTAAAGGAATCGCGGGGAAAAACTGTCGAGAATCATCTCGAGTCACGGAAATAATCGGGAATGTCTGGAATCAACGGGATTCCCGCCAATCGTGGGAATTAATATTTACTGAAACCAAGTGTGCAAGCCTATCAGACTTTTTAAACTCACAGTAGCCCACACTCCCGTTAAACATAATATATGTACGGGGCGTCCCAGAAAAATTGCGTGCGTGGGGTAGAGTTTCCCCAGCAAGGCCCATGCAAGCCTAAAGAGATAATTGAAGCGTTACCTTGAGATGAATCCTGTGTGGTCGTTTGGACTATCTTCAACTTTCAAGTACCAATCATACTCTGGTACTTTTCTTGTGTAGCCATAAAAAGTCGGTACGTACGTTGAGGGTTCTTGTTCGGGGCCTGCTTCAAGAAGCAACACCTAAAAGAGGGAAACGTGGTTTCAGAATTATCTAGACAAATACAAGTTCCTGTGCCAAAATATAAAACAGGAGTACTCTTAGTAAACCGAAACGTTTTGGTGCAATAAGACCAGATGCAAATTTGTTTCTAAAACTGGATAAATTTCCACCCGGTGTGGATGTTTACAATAACGCCCCCAAGAAACAAAATATTATAATCTGCTTAGAGTGTAACGATGTAAAGAGGGCTATACCCCGACGCTGATCTCAGTGTAAATCCACGGTCAGCATCCGATCTTCGCGCGCTTCGTGAGCTCTCATGCGCAAAATCTTACCTTCCAGTCAGCGACTTCAGACAGTCGGCTGGCCACAACAGCACCGGCTGACCCACCGCCAACAACAATGAAGTCGACTTCCGCGGGTGCTGTCGCAGGTGTTGTAGGCACGTCGAAGTGCACTGCGCTTAAGATGAGCGAGAGGAATGACGCGGCAGCAATACATTGGCCTGTGGAAAGTAAGGAAGCTGAATCAAGCGTCTTCAAAATTATTGTATTAAGGTAGACAACAACTGAAGTTATGTGTACGCAGGACGCAGTAGAACATATTAAAGAGTTTTGATATGCGATTCATTTTTCGCCCAGGCCCAGCGAACATTATCCTAGCGTTCTTGAAATTTTAGCGTTTTGATAATGAAAAATATACCAGGATGCCCGTACGAAAAATATTAGTACCCCGGGACATGTGGACTAGTCCGCTTTGAGGTCGCAGCGGCGAGGCGCAACGGCGGACCAGTCATCGGACAGTCCTCCCTCAGCGGACTAGGTCGCTTTCAGTCCGCCCTATGACAGACTAGGTCGCTATCAGTCCTCTAATGACGGACAATGTCGCTATCAGTCCTCAAATGAGGGACTACTGGCAGACTAGTCCATCCATAGTACCTACCGCAGCGGACCAGGTCGTTTTCAGTCCGCCCGGGACCAGAGGAAAGCACTGTTATAAAGAATCGTGTTAATCCCGAATCAAGTTTACCATGCTGTTTGGAGGTTACAGGAATGTAAACCTCAAATCTTCTTTGGGATATCTACAACTCTATTATAGTAGGGCAATTTTAATTTCATTGAAATCGAAGCAAATATTTCTTGTAACTCGTTAACGTCTTGAAGTAGGTCATAACAGACGGCCGATTTGGCTTCGCCTCGTTTCTGTCAATATAAAATCTCTTTTATATTTACTCGACTTGATATTTTACTTTATTTAGCGATGGTAAACATTAAACTTTTTACTTTTTCCAAATAATTTTGGCACGGTGTGGTCAGCTCCCGGGTGAAAAAACATTCACAGTAAGTTTGTATACAGAGGTACACAAGCAATTGTATAAAGCCGTATAAAGGTAATTGTATAACATTTGGTAAAACTGTATTACTTTGTCAGTATACATTTTTATAAAATATTATACAATATGTACTTGAGCGTTTCAATTTACTCACGGGAGAAGTGGCCTGAGTGGGTGGCTGTCGTTTTCAGCAAATATGTTATCCGAATCATCTTTCTGCCCTGAGCACGATAGTGGTTGTTTCACTTCCCTACGTGTAGCCGTTTACAAGTTATGCTGCATTTTAGAACTCAACCACATTTTGCCTACATTTAGGGGAGTGCCCAGAAACGTTACTACTCACTGTATGAGTGTATGTGCCTGTATACATTCGAATGTAGGGCAAGGTGGCATTTATTCACATGTATGTGGCTGTATACATGCGTGAGGTACAACGATGCTCTATTATACGTCGCTTTATATATGGCACGTTTATTGTATATACATTGTATTAGATTTTATAAAAACGTATACATGCCTCTGTATATAATTGTATAAAGTTTTACCAAATATTATACACATTTGTAAAACACCCTTTATATCGTTATATTACGGTGTACACAATCATATTCAATTTTATAAAAGTCTATAAATTGTAATAACATTTCTTAGTGAGTTGTATACAAACCGTTCCACCCGGGCTGTGCTACATATGGTCCGCTTTCAGTCTGCTCTGCGTGCGGAACCAGTCAGCGATCAGTCCAGTAAGGTGGCGATGCGCACTAGGCGCGGACTGGTTTCAGCCAGACCAATCCGGCCAATAGGTCGGTTTTTGGTCGATCGAGCCTTTTCCCGCACTAGTCCGCTGGCTTTGCGGACTGATAACGGACTGCCAGCCGGACGTTTTCCGGACCGAAAACGGACTGATGCCGTACTAATATTTTTCGTACGTGTGGGGCCTTAAGGCCAATAATGCGGTCCAAAAATTTGATATGTTCACAGGATCTGACGGAGACTTATCATTCCATAATTAGATAAACGAAACTTAAGATATTCAGGGAAAATATTCATTAACAGTTGGTTTTGTCGATTTCACAAAACTGTCTATAGTGGAGCCGTGTTTGTACAATCTACCGTGTTAAACCTGGGCTTTCCGGTGCTATAGCGACTCTGTTTTCCGCGGACTCTAATTTTTTACAGTGTATTCTCGCTTTTAGGAGCCAACTTAATCTTTGAAAATACTTACTTCTGATCAAAACAGACCGGTTTTTAAAAAGTGGCCTTTTGCCTTGGTCATTTTATTTGAAACGCATTGATTGTGAGAAATTGCAAGAACACCTACTTTTCTAAACTCCACGCCATGCGGTAAAGCTATTTTCAGAGAGCGTCCCCTAATTTGATATTACAGTACCTGCCATGCTGAATCTGGGCAGTCCGCAGTGAAGTGACAGGTGGAAGAAACGCAAGGCACTCTATAAGTACTCAGACAGTGTTGCTGTACCGCCATCTTATACGCATATCTACGAAGCTACTCCCGCAATTGTCCACTTTCATTCATGGTGATAATGCAATTTCTTAAGCAGCTCTGAGGTGACTCACGCCCCGCTGTCATGCACTCTTCTGAAGGATGAGTAGTAATAAAACAGATCGCAGAAAGATAGAGTAATTTTATCCCAAAGGGTTTTACTTTCACGAGTTTTCCTATAGGAGACCATAAAAAAATTCCTACTATTTGGACGAACTCTTATTTCTTTATTACCCCCTTTCACCCCCTTAGGGGTAGTTGCCACGATTTACACCAGGCGTTTCGTTGTCCAGGAGTGACCCCCTATATACCCTGACATTTGTAGACCTCTAGGTCATTTTCTTGCTCTTACACGGACTACCGGCAGACAGGCAGACTGACACGAGAGCAGTTGCAAAAGCCCGCTTTAATGCCTTTTTAAAGCAGCGGAGCGGAAGCTGGCTAAATCCAACAGACAACATTTACACCGCACAGCACTGTTCGTAGCTTATACTGGTTTTGAGTGTATGGGTTTGCAGTGTGCGCATGAAAGGTTGAAAAAAAGGAAAGGAACATATCCTAGAGGTCAAACTCCGATTCCTCTTCTGCTCTATTTAATTTAAATATTGGATCGTTACAGTTTGGTAAAGAAAGAAAAGGCATTCTCTTGTTGGGACCATTTGATTTTTTATTTTAAATTGTAAGGTAGAGTGCAAGGCAGAAGTTGAGATAAATTCACTGGGTAATGTTGTTGCTGTACCCGACGCAAAATTTCCTATACGCAACTGGATTGCTTTCAGTTCGTCGTGGCAAACGTGAAACGTACTAGTTCTTCTAACCTACCCTTCTACCCTAACTCTAAATCTAACATTTCCTAACTGGACCTGGACCAAGGGGTACAAAACATGGCAGAGGGTGACATGGCATCTTTACTACTACTGCTATACCACTGAAGGTTTCACCACTCCCATTTCGCAATCAAATCAAGAAGGAAAGAGGTTGTGATTTTACAAATTAGATGACTGAAAAAGTAAATGGGCTGCTATTGCCAGCTCATTGACAGTTTGGGCCCCTGACAGCTGGAGCCCCACTCTCCCTTACCTGTGCCCCAAGAGAGAATTGCGTTTCGACTGTTATGGGTGTTAATCAGAAGTCATAATTACAATGATTATTATACAAAATTATTTGAAAAATGCATTTCTTAAATTTTAAGACCAGGTTACATCCTTCTAATTTTCCATGGTTTGGTGTTGACGGAAATTTTTCTTGTGGATTCATGGGGATGTCACTTTCGGAACGATGTGGGCTATTAGCTGAATGCAGGTGAACTTTTCATTCTGGGGAGTGAACATATCCAGCCTGTAGCGGTAGTGCCCATATGGGAGAATGGGAAAATGTGGAAATGTATAGTTGAAAGGCATATTTTCTCTGGTGTAAACACCCTGAAAGAAGATTAGCATTTTGAGTTAAAAGATTGCAAATTAATAGAAAAAAAAACTAACGTTGTTTTGCTTTCTCTGTGCACCGCTTGCAGTTTTCAGGCGTGTCTGCTCTCCCAGCCCGCTACTGAAATTTTGTAAGAGGATCGAAAAGGTATTAGTAAAGCGGTAATACAAATTTCCAAAATTTTACTTCAAATTTTCGCATCATCTCCGATTAGAATAAGTGTATTGAAAATAACTGCAAAATAGATTTTATTAAATACTTAAAAACATCTAAGCCATACTTCTTATTTCGTAGATACTGTATATTACTGCGGTAAAAATTCTTTAATTGCCGACTGAAAATAGTGTCAGTAGCGGGGTAGAGTGTGTGGGTTTTTTAGATTCCAAGGGATTGTTAAGGGCCTGCCCGAAAGGTAGCCCGTGTGAAACGAGAGGGCAATAACTGAGGCAATAACGCAGTGACCACTCGCCGACTCTCTCAAGTCACACCAGATCGTCACCATACTGTCACTCAATCGTCGGACACCTATTCATGACGCGTCTTTCTGAAACATACTTCAAATCTGTTTGCCCACGAACTTCTGTTCGAGTAGTACTCGAACATTTCGAATCCAAACACCTCATATTCGTGTTCGAGCGATCATAAACAGCTCGATGTTCGTTCGAGTTCGATCGAATGCGAACATATTCGTTCATCTCTAGTTCGGGAGTGATTTGTGTTTTCCACATAAAATACCCCGTTCAAAAGAACACACTACGTTCGGGCAGAATGTGACGGGGAATGATCGTAGTGGCAAAAAGCATACTCACAGGTTTAATATAGCAAGGTCCTTTTGACTCCATATCACCGTCAAAAATCGACTGGAAAAGATAGGGCGCATGCGTGCGAATTGCCGAACAAACTCCGGGAAATTTTAAGACAAGAGCGTTACGTTTCCACTGGTTGTTGTTCCACAAGTCCAAAACAATTAGGATCTATATGAAAAAGAAATTGAAGCACAAGTTTTAATGCTTGTACTATCTTCCTGACTCATAGCAATTGTTTTCTTCATCCTGTTTCCTTTCGGAGCTGATATAACGTACATTTAACAAAGCAAGCCGCATTGCGCGCTAATATCACGAAGACCAAATTACTTTTGGAGATCGGTATATGGAACCATACATCTGTTGCGCTTTTAAAAATTCAAATTATGGTGTGAAGATACTCTAAGACTTTGAAATCGGGTAGTGAGCGGTGGCCGGTGTGGGCCGTGCGAGCCGCGTACCGCTGAATCCGCCATGGGGCGCTGAATCGCCAGGGGAATGTTTATGGGTAATTCTACCAAAATGGCACGGGTCGGTGTCCGCGAAAAAGTTTCTCGTTTATCTCAAATATATTGTTTGTCAAGCTTCGCCGAGGTGGTTTTCGCGCTTCAGATGATTACTTGTGCTCTATTTTAACTATTTTAATCAACAACAGCTACGGAGCATTAGTATTTAATTAATAATTCGCTATAATCTCACGTTGTCCCCCTTCGTCACACCCTAACCTAATTTCCGCGTTTTCTTCAATACCAAATGATGCTAAGGGTATTTTACTGTTCGAGATGTTTACTTTCGTGTCATTTTCACTATTTCAATCAACAACAGCTACACACTATAAGTATTTCGGCCAAAAATGTCAAATATTGTCCCCTTTGTCACGCTGTCCTGGGCGTTCGGCGTGACAAAGGGGACTATTTGAGACATTTTGCGGCCAAAATACTAATAGAGAGTGGCTGATGTTGATTGAAATATTGAAAATGACATAAAAGTAAACATCTCGAACAAGTGAAGTACCCTTGGCATCATTTGGTATTGAAGAAAACACTGAAATTAAGTTAGGGTGTGACAAAGGGGACAAAAGTGAGATTATAGTTAATTATTGATGAAATACTAATGCTCCGTAGCTGTTGTTGATTAAAATAGTTAAAATAGAGCATAAGTAATCATCTGAAGCGCGAAAACCACCTCGGCGAAGCTTGACAAACAATAGATTTGAGATAAATGCGAAACTTTTTCGCGGACACCGACCCGTGCCATTTTGGTGGAATTACCCTTATACGCAGCCCCCGGCCCCGGCCCCTGGCGAACGAAGTTGCCGGTGGGCCGAAGCGGAGCTGGCAACTCCGTTTGGTGGAAGGGTGGGCCTGCTTGTTATTTACTTTAATCTTTTATTATGCACCTGGTGCCCATTAAACAAAGGTCGACAATACTGTGCAGTATTAACCCACTACTTGTCTATTTGTTCAAAGCACTTTCTCCATCCAATCCACACTCGCATGGGAAGCGACCAGGACAACTCGGCGTCCGAGAAAAGCTATCTTTGTGGAACACCCGCGCCTCAACACCCAGAGTTTAACCGTAGCAGTACGATAATCTTGTATGGTTACTGCCTTTAAAATCCAGTTACAGTCAAGGATATTCTTTTGATGTGTTGCAATTGTGTTCATGAAAGGATGTGACTATTTGCACCGGTGGTGCAAATAGTGGTTCAATGAGCAATTTGCACCGCCGGTGCAAATAAGGGCCTTACTACTATTTGCACCGAAGTTTATGTTCCAGGTGTAAATAGTCCATATAGGGCAGATAACTATTTACACCGACCAAAAAGTCTTCTTAAAAAACAAAATACAAACATGGAACAAAATTTTAAATTGAAAAAGTCAGTTCTTTGGAGCAAATTACCCTCAAGATTAATCTTTTAATAATGGAAAACAACGTTTTGGTATATGACATTTATCTTTATTGACACGTAATCTCACAGACATTTACCTGTAGACTAGATAATTTCTTCCTAAGCCAGGCGCAAGGGGAAATAGGCTTGAACTTCGGTGTACGTTTCCTTGAACTTCGGCGAACTTCGGGGAACTTCGAGAACTTCGGTGAACTTCGGTGAACTTCGCGGAACTTCGACCGAAGTTCTCGCACTTCGACCTGGTCAAGAGATATGAAAGCAAAATTGTTCCTCTGTAATATTTCTAATTCAGGCCGTAGATACCTGCTTTGAGTAAGCTCGAGACTCGATTATAGTAAGCACTTAAAATTGCTAAGTGCAGCCGTAAATATGTACTAAAATATTTGGAACTTCAGTGAACTTCTCAGATTTATTTTGAACTTCGGGGAACTTCGATATTTATTTTGAACTTTGGGGAACTTCGACTTTTATTTTGAACTTCGAGGAACTTTGATGCTTATTTTGAACTTCGGTGAACTCCGTGAACTTCGATGGATTTCGGTGAACTACGGAGGATTTCAGTGAACTTCGATCAAATTTTACAAAGCAAACTTCAGTGAACTTCGACTTCGGGTGTACAAATTTTTGGAGCCTATTTCCCCTTGGCCAGGCGTTTATAAAATATATTGTAATCACGGAAAGAAACGACCATTAATTATAGTACTGTATTTATTGTTGTGCGTTGTGCAATTTTCAATAAACAGATCACAGGCTAAGTTAAAAAATATGAAGGATGACACAACGCCAACCATAATTAGGTTTTATGTTTTATCGCATTAATCTAACAAAACAATGGTTACAAAGAACGCTTATCTCTTTAATTTGTCTCAGGTGTACAGAGAGCACACACCGATTTGACATTTGTGTCTGATTCATCAACACAATTAGGGTGGTACCAATCACCACACATATCACAATCTATCATGGTCACGCCAGTTTTTAATGACAGGCAAGAATATAGTGAACTCGCTTTGAAAGCAGTTCATGATGACCGCCACCTGTGTTTCTACTTCAGATGTGAGCTTGGACTGCACATCGCTGCACAACAAATAAGGTTTTCCTAGAAAGCGTACATTTTATATTAGTTGATGAGTTCTACTCAATTCAGACTCAATTTTGTTTTAAATTTACCTTTTTGTACTACTAACAAGACCCAGTCACTAGTTCCAGTGCTGAGAAACTGAACATAATCCTGGTCATCAAGTGCATTGTCATAGCAAAACAGAAGATACTCCTTCTTTCTGACTACATCTTTAGGTTCCGCCAAGCCGCCCAAGTCAGAGAACTGTTCTTTGAGGAAGGCGGATGCAGAAATTATATGGTCCTTGGAAATGGGTCCTTTCCCCCTAAGAACCTCTTCCACAACCTCCTTCTCCAAGTTGGTATCTGAAACAAGACATAATAAAGAATGATAAAAAGGGATGGGGATCAAGTCTGATAGCAATGACGTTAAAATACTTGTACTGACTTTTCTTGATGTGGCAAAAGAAGCAGTAACGGCTGTCCTCTTCAATTACATACTTGGAACAAAATTCATGCACTGGTTTCACACAAACCTTACAAAGTACAGGTATTAAATTTGCATTATCTGATGTTGGATCTAAACACACTACACATTCACATACATGGCCTCCCTTGTTCTGTACTTTGCAGTGCTTGCAACATGTGTGGCCTGGTTGAGGATCTTTCAACAGGCAATTTTGGCGCTGGTAAGTGATGTAACTTGCACGACATAATCTGTGAAAACAGTTTGTTGTGGGCCTTCACTCGGAAACTGAGAGATTGTCCCATCATTGATGCACTTTAGCCAATGTGATCTCAGCTCTTCTCTGATAAAATAAACTTTTTGAACTTGGCGGGTCTTAGCAAATTCCACAGCATTTGCAATGACATAAAGGCCGCAATCAGTGCTATTGTCCTGCTGCTGGATTTCGGGTATGATAACACTGAAATTGTCATTCAAGCTCATTATATCTTTTATTTGGGACTTTGTATGGAGAGTCATCTTGCCTGTCCATAAACTGTCCATAAGATATGGTTGACCTGTGGGTAACAATGTTTTTGTTTTATTTATTGAATGGTAAAAATGTATTTATGTTCAAAAAAGAAAAAGAAACCTTTGGACACTATGAGTAACACCCAATGCCCTGTGCCAGTATTTAGCATCTGGATGTAGTCTTCATGGGCTTCAGCGATACGAGGAGCCACACTGATGTGATTCTCAAAGCGTACTACATTTTGGGGAGCTGTCAGTCCACCCAGGTCACTAAAAGCTGCCTTCAGCATTATGCATGCAGCATTCAGATGTTCGTCAGTTAAAGAGTGTCCTCTTTTAAGGTCATCCAGAGCAGATAGGGGCAGCCCAGTGTCTGAAATTGTTGAGAGAAGAGGTAAGGGCCCATTTCCAAAGAAGGTACCGCCCATTTCATAACAGATACAAACCTCTAGAGATTTTGCAATTGTTACACATTAGCACAACTATGCGTTTTGAATTCTCTGGTTGGAGTGACGAACATTTATTGTGAACTGGTCTAGTGCACCTAAAGCACTTCTCTGCACGCTTAGTTATGGCTCGTTGGGGTACAATACAAATACAATCATGACTGTCTGCCACAATCTGATGCTTGCACTTTGGACAACATGTGTGATTTTCCTTTGGATGGGCCAAGTAACAAACTTTGCAACGAGTACTTATCTCTTCTGATAAGTCAGCGTAATCTGTGTTACTTTCATTTTAAATGGATTGCTCTTTATTGCTGTGGGAGTTATCAGAATCATCATCTGTAGTGGCAGTTAAATCAATAACCACTTCCTTGTCATTCGTTGACAAACCTGCAGAAAAGTCGTCACTCATACAGAAAAACAAAAACAAGAAAACATACAAATTTGTCAAGAAAGGAACATCACAGGAAAATATATACAAATCAGTATAATGCTGCACAGTGACACAACTTGGCTAAAATGGGTGTATGTAAGTGATTATTAAATAAAATCAGGACAAATGACAATGAAGCAAGAACCAAGTCTGCAACCATACTCACATAGGCTGTTCAGTCTCGGTCCTGCAAGTAACTCACCGCTAGTAGATGATAACGGTTGTATGCCATCGTGCAGTTTCTTGCTTTCCAATTGAGCGGGAAAGAGAAACATTTCCAGGCACAAGAGTGACAAGAAAGATTTCCAAATTGCCAGACTATAATAAAATGAAACTTTTGTATGTATTTTCAAAAACTGAAGTCAGGTCGGTAATATTTCTTATCACTCTGATGCATGTAACTGTAATCAGACAGAAGCAATATAAATCAGTGTTCAAGTGCTTTGCTAAAGTTAGATACCATCTAAATAGAGACAGCGCCCAGAAGACACTTGCATTCAGCAAGTACAGTCATAAACAGATAATTAGGCACAGCTGAGTCCAAACCTGCCAAATTGCAGTTCCCAATAAGCCAGAAAGCCAAAACAGAAACAATCTTTACCACCCACAAAAAATGTTAGTTTGATAGTATGGAAAAATTAAAGCTACAACAAATGAGTCCTCTACTTGATTTAGGACTCCCTGCACTGAACACTGTGCTTGTATTGAGGGCATGCATCTTTCAATAAAACTCTTTGTTGCTTTGCCAGAGCATAAAGTATTTACATCTAGGGGTTCGCTGCGGCGTCTTGCAACTATAAAAAGACTTCTTGCCTGCAAATTGCCCTTTCTTGGCTAGCCTCCTGCAACACATGCCAAATTTGCATAGTTAATTTTAGATTCCAGTGCCATATAAATCTGCCCAGTGATAGGTATTATTAGTACAAAATAGTTAATGAAAATTGAAAATGAAGCATTTCTTACAGGAGCAGAGGCTCATAACAGCCCCAACAGGGTTTCACAACCTGGGTTGAAGGGGGATCGTTGGAAGACAATAATTTATCCAGAGAAGCTAGATGTTATGAAAAAGAAAAAAAGAAAATTAAGCTACATTGTATTTAAATCACAACTTTGAGGATCAAATTTAAATTGACACACCTTCACAAAAGTTACACAAACGGCCACCATTACCATCAGGGCTAGAACAGGGGTGTGATGCATGTCCTGTACTCTGGCATTGGGAACACGTATGGTCACTATCTACATTTCCATCACAGATGCAACAAGTAGGAGGACGATCAACAAGGCTCGTAAAATTCCATTTTGAAGGAACTAAAACAAAAATTTTGTTGTTGATTTGATTTTCATAGAGAAGGATTTTTAAATAATATATATGGCAGTATACCTTTTGCTTTGGTCTTTTGTCGTCCTTTATTGCGGACAACTGCTAATTTGAAATCCGGGCACCCCTTTCTGGGTTCGCTATCATAATCTTCAATCAATTTGTCTGCATCAACAGATCCTGCTGTAAGACCTGTAAGACCCTGGCAATCATCATCTTCTGAGGACTTAGAACCATCTGCAAAAGTAATCCCAAATGACAATAAGGATGACTGCTAATTGAAAATAATAGAATGGTTCTGAAAATCTGCAGGGCACAGACCTTGACAATGTTTGCAGTTACATAGCATTCCATAACCCTCCTCAGCTTCAGGAGCTGGTACGCTACAAGGTGGGATGGAATGTACTGTCTCACCACATGATTGACAGTGGTGTGACCCAGCCTCCTTCCCACAGACGCAACAGCAATTTTTGCCAACTACCTTTCTCACTTTTTCTTTTTTTTGGAAGCTCCTAAACAATGACGACAAATATTACACTGATAATTTTACTCCATTGATAGAAGCAACACCAAAATGCCACCATCTCACCTGTCTTTTTAGTACCATCATGAATGGTTTCATTCCTCCCCGAAGGCTTCCCCTTTACCACCACTTTGTTCAAGACAAAATTAGTTGTTTGTGAAGTACCTAAGGACAGATGTGAGTCAACAGAAAGAATACACACAAATGCTCACACATACACAATCTCAGTTGTGCAGCTCATGTAACCTACCTCTTTCATTAATTGATTGTGGTAATTGTTTACTTGAGTGACTCCTCGCCCTGGAGTCCCTCAAGTATACCATTGGAAAGGTATTTTTCAGTAGAATCCTGAACAGTATTTATATATTGGCGCTCGAGTCTGGTTTTCCTCAAAATTAAATAAATATGCGTCGCCGCTAACCTTCAGATGCACTTTGAAGACGGCAGGATAACTTACGTT